CAACAAAGAAACAAAACAGAACAGCTCATATCCTAGGCAGATAAATTGCAGCAGTCGCTGAGAGGCAATGAGTGGTGGAGTCCTACGAGCCGAGTGATGGATTGCTGCGTGGCAGCCGAGGCAGGAGACTCCCTTTTGCACTTCTTTGCTCTTAGGTGCCAGGCGGCTGCTCCAAACTGAACGTTTGTTTCATGTTAACAAGGACCAGCCCCCAGAAATGTCCTCATATCTTTTTAAGTAGCTGCCAAGTGGCCGCCTGGTGAAGGCAATCTAACATGGCTTGAGTGCCACTAGTTGACACTCTGCAATCTTTTATTGCTTTCCACTTTGATCGACATAAGAAATTGGTGATAACTAATATACAGTTGATCTTTTCATTCTGGTAATAAAATGATAAGAAGAAGATCTTATTATCCACTCCAGACATCCATCATAGTCCATTTTCCAAAACGTACTACTCGGGGCGTTTTTTCCATTATATCCAAGTCAAAAGTGAGGTTAAGTACTTGGCCTTAGATTCCTTTTCCCTCCAATACTTAGACATTGAGCTGGAAATAAAAGGAGTTGAACTTCAACCCTCGACACTACCCATATTAATATCATCTGCAAGTTTGTTGTCTCTGCATCTTAGATATGCCATTTTCTGTAAGAAGCCCAAAACAGTTGGAAGGTCAGACAAATAAAACAGTTGGTTTTCAACTCCAGAGAGTCTTTATTATTGCAAGAAAACAAGAAAAAAGAGAACCAGAGAAAACAATATTGGAAATGGAGACGTGGGAAAAGTAAATCTTGGAAGAAAGAGCTGGGCACGTGTAAAGGCATAACGAAACCAAAAATAATGCAAACAAGCATTAGAGATTATGAGTTTATTAAAATCCATTTTTTATATGGATGCAGAGGTGGCCTCAAGCCTTCCTGTGGGTAATAAGGAGATTCTGTAAATTATGTCATTGATTTGAAAAGAAAAAAGAAAATACTAACAAAACAAAACCTTGCATCCACTACATATTTAAAGTAGTTATTTATATGACAATTATGACCCACCTATAATTGATAGGAGCACCTCAGTTTTCAAATTTTCAATGTATTTAAACCTTCAAAGAGTATATGTAGCAGTAACAACTTTAAAAGCTACTAGAAGAATAGAGAGAGAAATTGGAACGATTGGAGCATGCAACATGCCACTGTAAAGGCCAAATTTGGGGAAAACAATATAAACACATCGCCTAATGACTTTGGGTTGATTGTTGGGAGGTTTGGGGAAGACTGCCTTGGTCACCCTGAGATAGCATGACCAAGACATCACATTATGAACTTTGGCAGACATTAAAAAATGCAGAAGATGACCCTATTTTTAATGCATTTGAGAAAATTTTACAAGGACTAGATTTTTTTTGCATTCTTTATATCTTTAAAAGACTTCTTAAGGCAATTAATATTATGGAGTAGGCAAGAGACTATCAAACACTCACCTTTTCATGCAAATAATTCATGTGTTGGTCATAAAAGGACTATTCACTCTGACTTGGGTTTCCTTGGTAATAATTTATTAAGGAACAGTTTGTCGTAGTATACATTTCTGCAGAAATGATTTTATGTAAAACACTCTACAACATATCTGTTTTTGTTAAGTCAAATAATTTTTCCTCTTTCTGTTAAAAGAATGTCACTTTACTTACAGTCCTTTCCCATCTCTCTCTATTGAAGTACCCTTCACTGCTCAGGGAAGAAAATATCTATACTAAAAGATGGCAGTTCTTTTAGCAACTTCCATATACATTTACTTTATGATGGTAGATTGTTGTTCTCACTATTGGAGTTGATTAAGGAGGCAAGAGCAATCTGACTGCCCCTTTATTCTTATCCTGGACAGAGGAGAATGGAGAACCCGTAGGTAACACACTTTGCTGGTTCCCTGCCAGTCCACAAATCTGCAAACAATGACCTTAATCTAATTCCAAGTTGTATATGTCACATATATTTTAGGGATGACATAAGCTAATGGACATCAAAGAGCTGAGATTGGTCTGGGAATTACTGCAGAGATATTCGGTTTGTAATCTGAAACAACAAAACATGCGTTTTGACAGTGAAATGACCACTATTCATAGAGAAGGATCTTTTTTCAAACGTACCCTCTCCACACATAAAAATAAGCTTCTGAGTTTTAAATAAAAACATGTAATATTTCTTGACAGCTTCTACTACGGGGGAAATATTGGCCACAAAGAATCTGACAGAGATGGTCTTTGGAATTCAAATCTGCCCTTTCCCAAAAGAACCTTAGCCAAAGCCTGTCCATGAAAGAGTCTGTTGTTGTATCTAAACTACTGACACTGGAAGGGCTGACAAAGAAACATATCTGCCATCTCTTATCCTCACACAGGTCTGAATACCGACAGCCAGATGTTCTCCCCCCTCACCTACTGCCTATTCTTCAATAGCAAAGAGTGGCCAGTCTGGTACTATGCATCACTTCTTTTGCATATCAAGGAACATCTGCTGTAAACTGGGGTTGGTGGGGGTGGGATAGAAATGAGGAAGGATGGTGCCACTATAGGAAACAGAGCAATTCTGAGCGAGTATAGAGAAATTTGGGGAGGTTTTCATTAAAACTTAATCATTTAAAATTTGGTATTAACTCTCAACGCAAGATAATCTTTTATGTTATAGTTTATATATTTCCAGCGGGAATATTCTTAAAATCCATCAATTAAGGTATTTCCTATTAATTTCATAATACAGCTGATATCTTCTTACGTTTGGTATAAATTTTAGAGACGGTGTTGATATATGGCTGGGATTTAATCAATGTACATTCATCTCAGTTTCATATAAACTTATGACTCAAAGGTCATAAATGTCATACATGAACTTTCATTAACCTTCAAGTTATACTGCAACGCAGATATTTTTATTTTTTATGGGGTAGAAAATACACTCCAGGTGGAAATCTCTGCTTATTTAATCACTGTGAGTTAGATTTTCATTATTAGATATAAAATGTTCTCCCTCTCCTCAAAGTTGAGTAATAACACAAATTCTTGATTGACCTTGGGCTTCTTGTTAAACCTGCCCAAGATTCCACAAACAAAACAAAGGAAAAGGAAATGAAACATTACCTGATCATTGAATGCTCTTTCCTGGGACTGCTGTCAAGTTAAGGCACTTGCAGTCCTGTACAAGGTGTGCACCGAAAGGTGCGTCACAGCCATTCATTTAATTCAAGTAATTTAAATCTAGCACCTCTTAAAAGGGGGAAAATGCCACCCACCAGCAAAGTTTTCTATCCTTAAAGACAATATTCTCAGTAATATCCAGAGAAAAAAATGACTATACTTAATATCAGACTCTTCTAAGCCAAATGAAGGTAATGCATGAATGTAACAGTTAGACTAGAAACATGTTTTGAAAATTAATTTACGTAGCTGAAGAGCACAGTTCATTTCGTTGAATTAATTTCCATCAAACACTAGCATTTACGCGGCTACATGTATAAATTGTAAAACCCATGTTTTATTGTAAGAGCACATAAAGCAGAAGTCTAAAAAGAAACCTGTTTTCTCACATGGATTTCCTAAGATTCGGGAAGAATCTAAATACCTCCAGCTGCCTTAAGGCACCGATCTGTGTGAGCTGCCCCTTGGCCTGCATCCGTGCCCCAGAGCTAAAGGCAAACCGGACCACGTGATTCGAGCTGCAAGTCTGTGCACCTGCTCAGGAGTATGACAGAGACGAGACGGGGTTTGAGGAGATGGGGTGGACCTGAAAATTCCACTTGCAGAGTTTTGACAGATTATTTCAGAGGCTATTCTGTTTGAGATGGTAGTTAAGGAATGTAATTTTTCTGAAGTCATGATTCCATGACCTTTTTCTTGCTACGATCAGAGACCGTCTTTTTTGCTATTTTAAAATGTGAAGCAAATCTGAGTTATAAGAAGCACAGTGTTGGACGCTGTAAAAATTCCATTAGATAAAGCATCTCGTTTTGTCAGTGTAAGACCACCATTTGTTCCTCAGAGGATAGCTTGTCGCCACTTGGAAACACAGCCCGTGGTTTGGGGTTTAGACTCCATCAACTCACATTCAGCACTTTATAAGGATAGAGGCAAATTTCTTTTTACTGATTATGACCATGAGAGATTAGAAGCTTGTGAGAACCATTTATTTAAATAGCTAACAATTCTGTTAACAATGGAGGAGATTCTTTAATGTGGTCAGCAAAACCTGGAAAAGAAAAATCTAAATATTTATGTAAAGAAAGGAAATAAATGTACTCTTAAGATAAGACTACAACTCAAAATAAAATCACAGTCCTTGTATCCTTTCAGGTTCTCTAGTTCACAATCAAATAAAACTCAGTCCATGCATCTTTTCTGACTAATCATTTGGCATGCATATCACAGATTTAGTTATTTTTGCAGATATATGATCAGGATGTAAAAATTCATCATGTAAATACTCGTTAGGAACAAGAAAAACTTCTTTAGACAAGTAATTTTCTGTACATTTATAACTTGGAAAAAACACATTTTCCTATGTAAATGGTTGAATTTAGAAAGATTTAATACTAACTCTCAAAATGAAAGGAATTACATGCTTTTCTGTATTTGCATTAAGAGATAAAAACAATAAGTGAAGGAAATAGGACCCATAGTATTTTCTCCAAATTTGGTCATGAAGAAGAGAGTTACTGGAGTCCAAGATCTGGCAAAATACAAATTCTACTCGACCTATCCAAAGGTCTGTAGAGGCATTTGTACCTTATGTCAAGAAACACTTGCCGCCTCTTTTGCCACTTGGCGGTAGGGACTACAGCTGTTAAGTCTTCAACTGGACAGATTTCAAAATGAATTTTTACAACCCAGATGATGGACTGGTATACGTCAAAAGTGAAATCATGAGTTTTATAAATGCCTTTCTCTTGCTCTTTTTTTTTCTTGACTAGCTTACATCATAATGGAGGAATAACATTTTAAGAATTTTGAATAGGCACTTACTGGAATTACAGTTAATCCTGATACAATCTAGATGGGGAAGAATAGATGAAAAATGAAAATTTATCCTTCAAGGTAATAGCTGCAGACATCCAATAAAATCACAGTCCACCCTTCCGGGGACAGACACATGCAAATATGGCCACTCCATAACTTTACATATTTCTAGAACCCAGATTCATCGTTATAAAACTTCGCCATTGGAAACAACATCGGAAGGTTTGAAAAATGGCCAACTCAAACAAAGCTACATGGTGACAAATCTAAGTGGAATAAAGAATTGTTAACTGTCAAAGATGCTTGACTTGGACTGGCTGCGACTTCCTCCCCATCTGTGAAAGAACAGATCCTTGTTTTCAGCGTAATTAAAAAGTGCTCCGTCACAACGGGGTGCAGGTGCAGGCTCAGCGAAGCTCAGACATCTTGGACCTCCAAAAGCTAGTATCCCACAAAGGCCATCGGAATCCTTCAGGATCGGGGTGGTCAATGGAGAGCAAGTGGAAATTATTCTCACCTCACCCTAATGTCTTATTTTGGTTTTGCTTGGACAAAGAGGTCACAGCCCGAAGTTGGCTGGATTCCACGCCTTGTATTAACCAGAGGAGGAAAGAAACGCTATGTGGCTAAGAAGTAGTGTCACTGCTCAGAACATTCCTCAGCCTATGCCTCTCTGAGGAGCTAACAATGTCATCTCTATGCAATAAGTGTCATGGTTGATGCTGCTATTGATTTTCCCTTTCTTCTACTTGCTTCTTATGGGAGAGCGGGTTCTGTAAGGACAGGATGTCTGATCTGAATAACACAGACTGTGGTTACAAGGGTTATTTTTAAAGGACTATGTGGGGTGTTTTATGCTTATTTCATGAATAGATAAATATTTGTCGATGTTGATCGTAGAATTTACTGCCTTTGGGGAACAGGAAAAAGATAAACCTAGATTCTGTTTCCATGTAGCTGAGTTTGTCATGTGTCGTCAACCGCATCAGAAAAGTGGTTGCAGACAGCCACGGACCAGCATCTACACAGCTCTTTCCACAGAATGCTTTGCTGTTGGAAAATGTCCAGGGGCGTTTCCACTTTGGCTAGCAGCCCCTTTACTGCAATTAGTCCATTTATTTTGATTGGCTGTAGTAACCTATCCTGGTCACTAGAGGGAACTCTAACAGAACAGAAAATGAGTCCTGTGTATTCTTCAGGGATCTTTGAAAAACACCCTTATTATCTAACTGAATTTAACTAATACTAATTGAATGTAATGAAACAATTATATGTTTTAGGAGCTATCACTCTGCCGAGCACAATTAGAAAATGTAGGTGGGGTTTCTATAAATGCCTTACTTCCTCACATTTCCTACTTTTTTAAAAAAAAAAAAATCTACATAGTTTCACATTTTTCTCTGCTTATTTATTTTCTCTGTTTATTAAGTTTTATGGGTGTTTATTGCTGCTTCCAGGTAATACAGTAAAACCTCATTAATGGGTGCTCCTCTTGGAGTTAATGATAATATTGAAAATTATTGGGCACATTATTTATAATTCTTCATTCAGTCTGACTATAGACCACCTGAAAAGAATTAAACAAACAAATTGTTAAAGGTCAAGTTTAGGGAGAAAGCTGATTTCAACTACTTTACTATGTATTGATGGCCCAACCTGCATGAAACAATGTGCTAATTATGGATAATCCTTATCCATCCATGAAAGCCAGCCTAGTAACACCTTTCCTTAACAGGATTTTTTTTTTTCAGCTATTAATTTGTGTTTCAAATGCAACTGAAAATCAAACTGTTTGATTTTTGCTAATTCTACAAATTCAGAGATTTTCTTAATTCGGCCTGGCCTTCCCCCATGTTTCATCTGGGTTGTTGAGGTTTTACTGTAGTGACTCTTGCCTAACTCTATAATGAAGCAGGAAAGCATTATTTTTCTGAAGAAGAGCCTGTGTTTTTAGTGTTCTCGTGGCTGTTTGCCGAGGGCCGCAGACTTTGGGCATTGAAGGGTTGTGGATTGCTGTTTGATAGCAGAATATCACCACACAGAATTTCCAAACAGAAAAGATGAGCTACCACACAGGTGACTATTGAAAGGAGAAGCCCATGGAATAGAAGAAAAACTACCGTTGACCTAGATCACAGAGTGGAAATTTGATATTTGGTGCATATGTTATCTCAGTAGATATATCTGAAAAGATATCATCTATAGCCAATCAGAATGCCAGTAAATATGATAATAGGAAATTCGATTTGAGGCCTCTGCAAGCCTAATGATTTATATTTTCAATTAACCTCATTGATATGGATGGCTTCCTTCCAAGAACCCTCAGTGGTAGGAATCACAAGACAGTAAATTATGGTAAACAAACAACAATAATAACAACAACAACAAAAAAAAACAATAAAAAGATGCCCCCAAAACCTAAATTAAATTAAATGATGGAAATGAGACCATTAAGTGTTTTAACTTTCCATGGCAAACAGGCTACTCGATAAATGTTGGCAGGCAGAACGGAACAAAAAGTGAAAGGTGTTAGTTCAGTGGGGAAGGTGAGTTGTTACCTAGGTTGACCGTCAGTTTCACACGCCCTGCGTCCAGCTCCAGGCGGAGGGTGTCTGCCGAGTCCCTGGAGGTGGTTGCCATGAGAATGCCATATGCACGCTGGGATCGAAACCGTAAGGACACGTCCTCAGCCTCTGTGTGCATGACCACGGGGAGCTGGATCTTCATAAACATACTCCCATCGTAGCTCAGAACCGTTGCCTCTGTAGGTGAGAAATGAATGTAAACATTCTTGGTCCGTTAGGGCATTCAGACTTGGAAAAGGAAAGGAGTGACCTACTAAAGTCTTTCAGATAGAACACGAGACTACAAGCTCAGCTCGTCTGCTTCAGAAAATTCTTTGTTAAGCTGAACAGAGGGGTCACAGAAGGGAGAACGTTCTCAGTGAGGTACCTGCTAAAACCCAGGAGGAAATATGGCTGCACTTCCCTTTTCATTCCCATAGCACTTTCCACTGATAGCATTGATCGTGTTGGATCATACATGTTTTCGTATGTGTCTCTCTTTCCAAGAGCAGAGATCGATTCTGCTGTGTATCAGCAGTGTGAGCCTGGTTGGAAGCTCGGGCAACTATTTAATGAATGTTTATACGGGGCTCGGCCCCTGACCAGCTCTGTAAAACCCGCCTAGGCTCTGAGAGGATCTCATTTGCTGGAACAGGATCTTGAAGGCCTTTGCTCTCCTTAAAAGTTCATGATTCTAAGGGCACTGAATTAGAACTTAAAACTACCTGTAGCCACAACCTTGGTCTCCTGGAAATATGAAGCTATCACTAAAGTGTCAACGACAACGTACGTCCTAAAGATGGCAGCTGGGATTGAAGAGCGTGTGTGGGTGAGTGCCACGAAAATGAAAGTGGATTGCTTTCTGAGGGAAGTTGCTTCATACAATGTTAAACACATAAAAAAGCAAACAGCAAAAACCGTGGGTCACAAACTGACTGCCTTAAGAAATCGTCAGCACCCCTGAGTGTTTAACACTACATGTGGTGGTGGAATATTGCAAAACAAGTGTGAGTCATGCTGCTCTTTCATTGGTTCTCAAAACTCAAGACTCTCATCTAATAAAAGAAAAACTACCTGGATTTAAAACAAACTAGGAAATTCTCGTGATCCTGCCCAGGTACATGACACAACAATTAACTTTACTAATGCAACTGTGTTTATTATGAAGACGGTATTTCTGGAGTTGTGGTTTTGCAAGTTTATTTTTCAAGAAGTCAGCAAAGTCAAGCGTCCCTTCTAACATCCTGTGATCACCAGCTGTTGCCATCATGAGGCTGAAGGCACATCCAGAACGGATAAGCATGAAGGTCCCAAGGTCCCTGCCTGGCACTCTTTTCTGCCCACCTAATGACAAAGGATCTCTCTCAATGCATGCGCTCACTCCCCCTCATCTTTATTAACGGTCCTGACTTCTCTCTTGAGCTCCATCACTCTTCATTCATCCATTGCCTATTGAACATCTCCAAATTGAATCTGATAGGTACCTTACTCCACTCTTTACCACTTCCCCCCGCCCAACAATGAACACCCATCATGTCCTTCTCCAATGTTCTCGGTAAATGATATAACCCATCACTCAGACCTCTGCCTTTCTGATTTCTCTCTCACCCTCCTCATGTCCAATCTATTTGCAAGTCTGCAATGCTGGAAGGCACTAATTCCATTTCCTGAGTCATTTG